ATGCATTTAAAATACTTTGTTAGTATATATAAGATATATATATGTATGTTATTCTTTTTAATGGTTTTAATAGTTTCCTAATTGTTTCTAATTTTTTTCCCTTGACTTGGTCGCTTTCGCTCTTCTATCATCACCTCTAGATGTTTAGTTTTTTGGAAAATAAGCAAACTAAACTCATTCAATTTTACAAGTATGGGATGATATCATATCTCGCGCTTCCGTTCTAGTTTACAGAAATTAAGAATTTAAAGGCGCGTTTACATAGCGAAAAAATAACATAATAAGGAAAAAACCTAAAGAATCAATTAATCAATACTTCGGCAAGAACAATAATTAAAAAACCGCTCAAAATTATATAAAATTAAATAAAAACAATTGGCTTTAAAATTTGAATTTTATAACATTCATGCCGTTTTCTATCAAAATGAAGCATTCACGAATGTATAAAAAAGGTAGAGAATTCTGTATACGTTTTTAAAAATTCCAAAATTTCGTACTATAGAAAAATTTCGTATTAAATTCACTTGAAAGGCTGTGTCGTAAAACAACAATTCTAATAATGGAAATAACAATAAAGTTTTCTCTTAAGCCAGCCGGCAAAATAAGTAGAGAGCGAGAGCAAGAAAGTGTTTTCTCTCCTTTTTTCACTTTTGTTTACTCTAAGAAGAGAAATCCTTCGATTATTTGGCCACAATAGTGTCTTGCTGTTATTGTTATTGCAAAATTTTGCATGCTCTTAGTTTGAATTTAGTTTTCGAATGGGAAAGATGTAAACGTAGTGAATTGAATAAAAAGTTTAAATATTCCAAACGGCTAGCTACACACATAAAAAACGAAAAAAAATTTTCATTAGAAAAATCAAAAAAATTCGAGTGAAATCTTTTTGATATTTTAATACAAAAAAAAAAAATCGAGTAATAAAATATTTCTTCTTATTAGTGTTAAAGAAGCTTATGTAACGTAAAAGAAAAGTGTAAAATTTTGTTGTGCGATTTTAAAAGGAATAAGAAAAGGAGAGAAAAAGGTCGAATTTGTGATTTCATTAAGATATATTAAAGTACACGTTGTTAACGATTTTGTTGGTTTACGGAATTTCCTTTCGGTATGATATTTCAAGTTTAACAAAATTATAAGCATAAGTATATTAAATGTTTTTCTTTTTTAAACATCTCACACTAAAGGTTTTTTAAGCAATTAAAAGCCAATTTTATGACATTCTCAATTATTGATTTAACGCTTGGATGATGGTCGGTTCATTGGTGAACAGACCCCCTTATATAGGCAACATAATTAGAAAGAAAGCATAACCACGTGTTTGCGAAATTGTGTGCGTACACTTGACAAAAATTCCATCAAGTGTGTATGTTGTATAAAACGAAGCAAAGAGCATAATAAGAATAAACACATTGTTACTTACGATAAAGACTAAGAAAGTCCGGATTACAACACAAAGTCGAATTAATCAAAATATATTGAAAAAAAAAAAGAAGAAAAGATTATCTATAAATGCATTCTATTTATATTTAAACAAACTATACCGTTTGTATATAATGCCAATTATTGATTATAAGAATAAAGAATAAAAAAAAAGAGAGATACCCTCAAAGATAAGGTAATGTTTATTTTATATTACACTAATAAAGCACTTGATGTTGTACACGAGTTATAAAACATACATACATACACACATGCGAACGATTACAAGCACGTGATTTAAGTATGCAATTGCTCTCGTTATATTGTAATAATATTGCTTAAGAATCTTTTTGCAGACACTCTACGCCCGAATCATATCACCGTGGCAAACAAGTCCTTAATCTTATAATAGTATTTATAATTAAAAAAAAAGAAAAATACATTAAATTTTCGAGATATTTTCGTGGCAATCATTTTACATTCCTTTTTAAATTGTCCAAAACAATTATCTAAGATATCATATAAAACAAATCGACATTTGAATTGCATACATGTAATATATTGTAGAGTGCATTGTGGCATTCTGCAAGAAAATTGAAAAATTATTTTTATATTACAACAAACATATGCTTTCTGAGCCCACAAGTTTTGTCATTTCTCTGGTAATACCCTTATGCCGTTGCTATCTAAGTTGTTCATCTCCATTTGAGTATTAACGTTAAAAGGAGGTTAAAAGGATACAAATCCAGTCTTTTACTAAGTATTCATGGCCATGTTTTCTGGCAATTTGGTCATGCTATGCGGTGTAAAACAGAACACTCTTAGCAATGGTCTTAATGGCAGCATTTGCTTATATTATAATATGTTATGTAAATCAAAATAATTTCAAACAGATCGTAATCCGAAAAGTTTTTAAGGGAAACTCTTTTTGGGCCGAAGGTAACTTTAAAATGTTTTTTTCAAAATTTTTTCGTCTCTAAACTTGAGGTACATAAGGTACGACAAGAATAGTTCAGATGAAAGTAATATGAACGGTGACATTAATCTTTTGGTGTATGCAGTGTTTGCCGATTGGGGGAGCCATAGTAAATAAGAAGATCGGTCAAGGGCCATGCTATTGACCTGTTAGACCGTGAACCTGAACTGACGTAAAGTCTATGCTTCTCATGAGAATCAATATTTCGATATAACGAGGCGTCACGACGAACTCAAACCATAGATCATTCAGTTTCGTCAGAAATAAATGACAAAAACACATGTGCCATTTTATGTAGAAATTCTTTATCACGAGACAGACTCGTACACTTCGCTTAAAGGACAAATTCTTTACCAGGAGTCAGACTCGTGGTTATAGGCCAAAGGGTCAACGAGATGAGAGTTGAATGGAATATAGCTAATTAACAATAAATAAAAATTTTTATCCGAAAGTAATATTAAAATAAATTTTTCTAAAAATCATTTTATTTCATTTTTATTTTTTATCCTCCGGTGCATCTTATAGCCCGAAAAATATGGTAAGTAGGATCATATTGGTTGATTTCGTGCATTTTCCTTTTCTGCATAGCTCGAATCTAGTATCTAATGAAAGACATTAAATGATGGAATTGCTGGCGTCGATAAGACTCCGCAGCGATTTCAAGAAGTCGCTCTAGAGACGGCTTCAATAGTTGAATTGAAAATTATTTGTGTAAAAACATTGCTATTTTGAGAAAGACTATAAGTATCTTTCTCTTTCACTCTGTCTCTCTCGCTCTATCCCTCCGTTCCTCTTTATCTGCCTCTCCGCGCTTAGATCTAATCAAAATTGAGAATTTCCGGAAGTTTTTTGACAAAAATGAATTAAACGATGAACACAAACAAGTACATGTAAAGAATAATATGGCGCGTGAATAACATATTCATGTAAAATCAAAATAAATACAAAATTTTCATTCGTAGTCTGTTCAAGTATGATGAGTTAGCTGCCAATTATTAGTGAGTACGCTTATGTACACTGATTGGTGAAAATTAATTTTCTTAGATCGCTTGTATTAGATGTTTGCAACAATTTTGATCACTTTTTCACTTGAAAAAGGCATTTATTGTGGAAAATTGGCGCAATATCAAAATAGTTTCCATAATTTTCTACAAAATTTCATAATATTTGTGGCAAGAGGGCGTTAATAGGTCAAAAGAACTTGTATTGACTTGGTAGCGATCCACTCTCGACCCATTTTCGTACTTCTTCAACTTCGCGGATCCATGCGTCAGCCAGGTCATGCTGCATTGACCTGAGCAAGTGGTAACCGGGCGTTGTTATGTTTGGTGAATAAGCTGAATAGGGCAGCGCTTCCTTTTCGAGCTGCACTAGCGTGTCCTAAACAACTTTTGCACGAAGTAGTCAATAATGGCACGTTCAGCCAATTCGTGTCGCCACTTTTAAACAATTGGGATATGATAGAGCAGCATCACCCTAGGTCTCTGAATGTGTTTGGTAAATTTCGGGAGCAGAGTACTTCGAGTAAACAACAAAGGTAATGAATTTGAAAGAAGAAGAACTTTGAGCGCTTCATGAGTAGCGTTGGCCTATGCTGAGCAAATTACTAATTTGAAATAGAAAGCTTGATATTTTATGCATCAGGAAGGTCAAAACAATCGACCCGTTATGTATGTTAATTGATACTTACCCTTTCGTCGCATCATTTTCACCTGTAGAGATTGCTGATCAAAATTTTTGCAAACACCTAATCTAACATAAAAAAGACCAATGGAATTGAGATTTAATCTAAAAAAAAAAAAAAAAAAAAACAAAGAAAATAATTTGATCATAATCAAAAGAAGCAGAATCCAGTTAATAATATTAAATATAATTGATAATAAAGTAAAAACAAGAGAAAACATTACGTCATAACAGCAAAATTAGACTGCTTTTGTCAATCGTTTGAGCATATCGTTGCAAACATTCTGAAATCATTAATTTCCATAATCAACTGGATCTTAAATTCTAAAACCAGTTTGACGTAAAAACGTTCATCATTAGAAAATTGAGCATTTCGTTTACCTTAATATACACTTTTATGTAAAAAATAATAAAATTAGAACATAAAGCGACTGTTGGACTGTCATCTTAAAAAACAAGTTAGAACATTATAGCCGGATAAGGCTGACCGTTAAATGCCTTATACCACATTATCTAACATAATTCTTATCCTTGTATGAAATTGAATGCCGTTATGGGTCAATTTTCATCACATTACACATTAAAACTTGGACTTTTCTGCTCTACAAATCATTAATTCTCGTGAAAATTGTTATTACCGTAGTCTCAAATTTTGTCCAGTTAATTTATTTTATGTTTATCGTATGAGTTTTATTTTTCGTTTAATGAGAAGTGTCTCTCTGCGCCGGTCTAAAGTTTTCATGCCAACTTAGAAATGGCGAAATACTACTACTTAGTCGCTTCTATCGACACATTGTGAAAATTGCAGTGGATGTGATCGAAAAAATGGACCGATCCGAGCAATTTTCAACAGAGTTCGTCCTTGGACCAAAACGCGTCAAGAATTGCGAATTATAGCTTGAACACAAATTTAAATGAACAGACGGAGAGGCGAACGGGCAGGCTTAGATGAATTCAGATTATGATTCTGAATCGATCGGTGAACAGAAATTTACATGGACAGACAGTCTTAGATCAATTCAGATTACGATTCTGAATCAATCGATATAATAAGAGGTCTTAAGCCTTTCTGCGTGTTACATACGTCCGCACTAACTTAATATACTTTGTATCACAAGTGGCGTAAACTAAGAGTTGCCTTAAGCATAGAATTTTGCTGTAATAAAACTTCGTCCAGTCCCGAATATTTTCGTTAATGAAAACTGTTGGTGGACTGCTCGCTACTTTGGCCAAAAAAAACTTCATCATGCTCAGAATATTTTTACATCCATCACTGAACGATGGGGAGTATATTAATTTTGCCATAATAGTTGCAACACCTAAGAGAAACTAACTCTCCCTTCAACAACTCTATAAAGTATATATATTCTTGACCAGCATGAAATTCTGAATTAATGAAGCCATGTCTGTCTGTCGGTGTGGTGCTTGTTAATGGGACTCCCCTGGTCGCAAAAATGAAGATATCGACTTCGAATTTGGTAAAGACATTTAAAGTTTTTGTTCACAGTTTGGTATTGAAAATGGGGGACACCGCAACCTGGTCGACTAATTTTTCTTAATAGTACGTACCAGCGATATGGATATCAAACAAAAGGATTTGGAAAGTAAAATGCAATAAGCTAAGTGTGTTAAATCTAAATTAATTACGGTGAACACCAAAGACAAATTTATTTGAACAATACCTTTTAGCGAAGTAAGAGGTGAAAGATAAATTTTATCCCATTCATGTTTTTATGACCAGAAATAAAAGAAAGGAGCATTAAAGATTTTAATGGTGGTGGGTATGTGAGATTCAACCCCAGACGAATATAAAATTTCTTACTTGTTGATATTAATTCAGATATAAATGAGTCAAGCTTCCAATTCTCTGAATTGCTTTCATGGTCGCCGATCGCTTGATAGTTTTTCATTTAATGGTAAATTGAAGCTCGACAATGGAACTAATCAAAATCAAATACAAATATGGCCACAATCTATAAACAAATTGAAACAATCGAAATAAATTGTGTTTTCAACTATAATTCAAG